TGTTCCAAATCCACATGGCGCTGCCAGGTTCCTCAGTGCAGCCACATACTGAGTTGCCGTCTCGTCCGCGCGCTGAACACGTTGTCTGAAAGTGTGTCTACAGGCCACGACGTTGACTTTCGGAACAAAATGTTTCTCTAACGCGGCCATTGCTGCGTCGGTAGTATCTCCTTGGAGAGTAGTAATACAGCACGTCTTCTAGCATCTGGCCATGCATCTCCCGTAGCATTGATGACTAGCATGTAATTGCTAAACATCTTCTTCCACGTTTCAAAAGGAATAGGCGGCTCACCAACATGCGGAAGAAAAGCCGGTGGGCACGGTACCGAAGCGCTCATCCTCGTCGCCAATTTGTTATGTTGGTGGTGTAGAATTAAGCAGGCCTAGTAACTCTTCATAACTTTAATCATCATGAGCTATAGCAGGGTTGCGGTCCAGATACATACATTGCCTTCTACCCTCTCCGTTCATCAGTCTTATTCTACCTTTTGTTGTCATCATGGTAACAGTGCCCTCTACTGGTCAGGCATGTAAGCAGTATAATTATGGTATCACTTCAGGCATAGCATAGTGTATCTGTAAACACAACAGGAGGCAACGGTGGCACCGGGAAAACACCGTGTAGTGGCATTAAAGAAACGCACATTCCTCACGATGCTGTCGCCGACGATGAGCGTTGTGGGGCTGAACAGCGGACGGGGTGGCAGGTGAGGTGAGCCAGCAACACTGCTGTCTGCCGCCGTGGAGCGCCAGGCCGGACCGGGGCCGGGGCCGTGCCCGTCCACTGCAGCGCTGAGGCTGGCCGCTCAACGGGAGGAAGAGGTCCAGAGCGCCTCATGACGGCCTCCTTCAGCAGCCTGCGGCGGTTGTTTCTCGCAGAAATGAGTCAAGATTCCTGACCATCCCGGGCGCCAGGTGGAGTAGAGCCAGCAGGTACAGGAGGAGCCTCCACCAGGGCTGCAGCCAGACCCCCAGTCGCAGTCGGGGCATCCCTGGAGGTCCGCGCACACATCCACGGCTCTTCCTGGCCTGTAGTGGAGCAGGCCCGAGCTTTGGGCTTAGCTCCCAGCGCGGCCCAGTGTACAGCAGCTGGGGCAGTAGAATCCGGTCATGGAACAGTTGAGTCCAGTTCAGCGTGAGCTGCAATGCCGACAGCAGGACCCACGGTGACCAGAGAGTCCAAAAACCTCTCCTCGTCTCTGATCTGGTAGAGGGTGGATATTCTCCCTTCCAGCTCAGAGGATTTCTGAGACAGATGGATGCAGCCGGTGCATCTGGATAGTGAGGTGAGTGGAGGCATGGCTTCAAGCTAATAATTCCTTGAATTTAGAGGCTGGGCCTGGTGGATCCTGGGCCTGGAGACAGAGCTGGTAGAGCCTGAGCCTGATAG